TACATTAAAAGTTTTTAAATGATTATCATGTCAATATACATTGTGGTCATAATGTGTTCGCATTTTTGGCAAGTTTCAGCAACAGCCCCAAAGTCTGCTCTGTGAGCCATGTAAGGATGCGTTCTTATATTCTCTAACTTCTCGGAAAAGAAGAAAAGAGAAGTCGGAGAAAGTGGTATAATGCAAGAACGGGTCTCCAAGAATTCGGAGATATTTTTCACATGTGAAGCAATATGAAGCGCCAAAGGGGCCGTGATCTTCAGTGCCATGAATGTAGTACGCATTGTGCGTATGCAAAAAGGGAAATGCGTACACTCGTGATCAACACATCCGTTTAGCTGTAGTTCGCATGCGCTGATCCCAAACCGCGGGAATCTCCAAGTTTCAACCACCTCTGGAGCTTGGAGAGCTTTGGAGAGCCTCTTAAATTCGGAGAGGATATAAGAACAGCTCTCGAACTTTTCCGAGAGTCTCCAAATTTTCCGAGAGGATTTAAGAACGCACCCTAAGAAATTTGTTATCACATGGTTGGTGTGGGCCTTGTTGAATATTATCACTCCTTTAGTATTGACTCCCATTGATTATCGTCATACCATAAAAACAGTTCATAATAACAGTTCATAAAAACAGCTTTTTAGGATCGGACCCAGTCTGCATAACCAAGAGAGCTAGCTCCCTTGGATGCTGTTGGAATATGCAAGAATGGGCCTTCCAGATAAGGTCTAACAAGGAGAAGTGGCTAAAGTAATGAAATGAATACCGGTAACCATGGAGACAGACCACACTCTCATTATAGATACTGGTTATAAATGGACCGAATAAGGAAAATGACCTGATAGCCTATGAAGAGTAAAAGAAATTGAACCAATGACAACAAATACTCGTCCTGCACATGAGTTGTCATAGCAACACAAATAACAGCTGTCCACTAATTTTGTTGTTGGAGATTGAGTAGGAGTTTCTACTGGTTGATTCGGGGACCTCGGTTTTTATAATAGTTTTTATTGGTCATAAACCCACGGCCTCCTCATTTATTGTATACATACAATGTATTTAAATAATCTACGTGGAGATAAAAGTTTAATAATACGGAGGATTAGGAAGACGAAATTCGCGTTCGCGTTCGCTCTCCAAGGAAAGTCGAACTCAGTGACGGAATTCGCGTTATGAGAAGGATTAGCACTATAGCAAACAGAATTCGCACATGCATGACGTTGACACGACGTACATTGTGTACAGAGAGTACAGCGTGGTAAATTTATGACTGCCCTGACACGAATCCGCGATTCGTGTTCCGACTACTTTTCCGAACGAAAAATTCAAAAGTTCGCAATCCAGTTCGCTAACTGAAAAATGTTTGCGAACGCGAACGCGAATTTCGTCTTGCTAATCCTCCGTAATAGCTATGAAAAGTATGAATGCCGCAGACATCACCACGCAACATGACAATTTGTTCAAGGTTTGGTTTCGTGTGTTTCCAAAATCGATTTTCACGCTCCGATCATCAGTGGAAATACGGAACTAAAGAGATCAAGGGAAAAAACAAAGGTTAAAAATCCAAAGAAGTGTGACACATGACGGGTAACTTGTGGTAAGTATTACAAAAAGTGAGAACTAAAATAAAGAGTAAGTGTGACAACCGGGCATGAACAGTGTAGAAACAACTCATGAACACGGGGTGCAAACTCACGAAAATAACCTAAGTGCTAAAACATGTTCTTTTTGCTTACACAAATCGGGCTTATGCGTACGAATACAAACAGCTTCAAGGACCTTCAACTGCTGGACATAACGGGCACGACACAGTACAGAGAAGTGGGAATCATCATAAACACTCAAACAATCGGCAATCAGCATGTACAACTTCACATGCTGCCGGACGCAGCAAAAGCGAAGCGCCCGAAGCGGGGAAGACCACGCAAGAACCCGCTCCCTCTACCACCGACACAACCAGAGCAAGTCGAACACACGGTGCAGAGGAAGAGTGGTGGATCACTAAGCCAACCGAATGTGCCTTCTCCACCGTTGCCCTTGCCGCCACCGGAGCCACCACCAGTGCCGTTGGTGGCTGGGGTTGGGGAGGAGTCGGCAACAACCACAGTACCGCCAATCACAGAAATTGATCCCATTTCTTTGACACAGTATCCGGCTGTGCGGACACCGCAGCACCCTCCGGCGCTTGATCCGTGGGTCCAGAGACCACGGAGGTCGACCGCGAATTATTCAACCGAAATATATGCTAGGAATGGCCAAGGCCCACGCGGAGCATCGAAGGAGACCGGAAGCCGAGGGCAAAACGGAACACAATCTCGGGACGTAGATGAGGTAAGGACAGTGGCACGGGACAGACGTAGGAAGGAGAACATGGATGGTATCAGACGACTGACTGGTGGTGAATATGAGTTGGGTGATGATGCGGCGGATGACGAGGATACAGATGACGACGAGGCGGATGACGGCGAGGATACAGATGACGACGAGGCGGGTGATGACGAGGCGGCGGATGACGACGAGGCGGTTGACGATGAGACGGCTGGTGGTGATGGTGATAAAACGGACGAGGAGGAGTCAGGTGGCAGGGAAGGTGATGGAGCTGATGAGGGTGAAATTCGTAAGAAGTCAGCTGTGTACTTGCATTTGTTATCTCGTCCCGATTGTTTGAGTGTTTATGATGATTCCCACTTCTCTGTACTGTGTCGTGCCCGTTATGTCCAGCAGTTGAAGGTCCTTGAAGCTGTTTGTATTCGTACGCATAAGCCCGATTTGTGTAAGTGTTGAATTCGAAACAGGACGACTGACGACATATCCAGACATTACAACGGGAACAGGTAGGTTGGGGGACGACATTTATTATACTAGTAGACGACGAGACAAGAGACCAAGACGAACGAAACGACTACATTGAAGAGTGAGAAAAGAGAGAGAGAGATCAAGTCGGAACGGCAAGATAAAGGGCCTGGGTAGCTATGGCAAATATGGGCGCGCAAGTAGCTACCCAGGCCAACGGAGCAAAAGGAGACAAAAGGTGCGTACGCAAGTGCATGCAGGCCAGCTAGAAAAGGTACGGGAGGAGGTACTTAACATACCACCCCTCCATGAAAAAAAATCCCGCGTCCTCGCGGAGAGAGAAAAAAGAGAGAAAAAGATTTAAAAAAAAATGACTGATGGAGAAAACACACACACACACACACAACGCACGGGCCTCACAAAAGTGTGGACTAAAAAATGCACTACAGATCATTACAACCGTCAACGTTCCTGTACTACTCATACTATAGTGTGTACATTGCCGATAACAACGGGCCCAAACGCCCATTCAAAACATGGCCCAAAAAATAACTATTGGAGTTCGACGAGGGACTTGAATTGTATTCTGATGACTAGTATTTTGCACGGCTAATAGAGCCTAGTTACACTTTAATATACGACATAAATAAGAGAGCGTGGCTCACCATGATCGGACCCCTAATATTAATGAAGGACACCCGCGCGCACACACACTACAAAAAAAATTCACGAAAATAAATTTGACGAAGAAGGAACGCATACAAAAAAAAAAAAAAAAAAAAAGAGAGAAAGGTAGCTGACCTGCATGGCTTGAACGAGAATAGACGAGGTAAGGTTGGCGTAGGAGAGACGAGGTTGATAGAGACGAGACGAGGTTGGCGTAGGAGAGACGAGACTGACATGGACGAGACGAGGTTGACATAGACGAGACGAATGGTGGTTGAGGACGGCTGGGCATGGGATGATCTCAGGGTCGTGGGTCGATCAATAATCGGGCGCCAATGTTGAATTCGAAACAGGACGACTGACGACATATCCAGACATTACAACGGGAACAGGTAGGTTGGGGGACGACATTTATTATACTAGTAGACGACGAGACAAGAGACCAAGACGAACGAAACGACTACATTGAAGAGTGAGAAAAGAGAGAGAGAGATCAAGTCGGAACGGCAAGATAAAGGGCCTGGGTAGCTATGGCAAATATGGGCGCGCAAGTAGCTACCCAGGCTGTTAGGGTAGAAATGCATACATTATGACATGTACATGACTTGATTGCGAGTATTTGCGACTACTAGTACTGTAGTACATGCACGTAAACGTAAGCCTCGTCATAAGCTATAATTAGATCTCCGATGCTTGTAACCTTGTTGTCAGCACTTCTAGAACTAGTACCTCTACCACTTCCTTTTAGTTAGTCAATCACGTCGTTGATTCCGGACTGTTCCATACCTTCCAAGTCATATGCTTGATGACTAATGCTGCTGACTAAATTGCATATCTCACCTTCTAGAATACCTCGCTTAGTCATTATGTTTATGTTACGCAATGCTCATTTCATCTACTGAAGTACCTGTATAGCAATGATGATCTAGGTTTGCCTTCTCCACTATTCTAGAACTTGTAGAAGGATGATTTCGTAATCCTTGTCTTACCAACCTTAGTTCTCTACCTTCGCTATAAAAGCTGCTGCCTTTCTAGTTTCCTAGGGGGATTAGTTTCTTGCCGATTAAGATCAGTTCCTACATCTTAGATTCATGCTAGAGAACTCTT